TGTCAGAACCACCGCAAGATAATTTTACAGTCCTGTGAAGTTTTATTGAAATCGGTTGAAAAATGTAGGAAATCCGATCCAATATATAAACGTTCAGACACACACACACACAATCTGCGTTTTATAATAAGTAAGATTAGTTTGTAGTTACAACAGCAACAACAAATACAGCAACAGTTGTTACAGCAACAAGAAAATTGGAAAAATCATAAAAACTTTTTTCAAGATGAACTGATGTAATTACAAAAACAACAAGCAAAAGACACTAAGCAATTGTGTGAAACCGTGATATCTAACAGAAGAATGGGGCAACAGATTCTTTTCCCATGAAGGAATATCGAATTCATTATCAGAATTCAAGTATGACCTGGACAATGGTGTAACTTTCCCTGACTATTTTCATAGATACAAGATGATTTTTTCCTAAAAGGTGTGAACAATGGTCTGAGGAGGAAAAAAAATTATGTTGTTAGTCCAAAAATTAGGTACAGAGAACACTAAATACATGAACCTAATTTTACCTAAAAAGCCGGAGGAAATCTCGTTTGTTGAGACAAAGATTTTGTCAGGAATTTTCAATGAAAGAGAGTTTGTTTCATACTCAATACAAGTGTTTAAACATTGTAAAAACAAGAGAATAAAGACTGTGACTTCTGCAGGCAATGTAAATTCACAGTGTGAATTGTTTAAACGTTTAATCTTCATTCAGAGATTTACAGCGGGAAAGGACAAAGACATTAGATCAAGGATTCTGACAATTATGGAGCAAGACCCTCAAATTATGCTACAGAAGGTGACTGAGGAATGCCAAAGCCTGATAAATATAAAGAGACAATACATGGATCGAAGAATAGAACATTTCTCAAGTCCAGGCAATAAAACAACCAAAATTTATAAAATATAAGGCGGAAATATCCCAGTGGGGGGGCTCATTTAAAAATGTATGGTTTTTTTAAGGATAAGGTTTGCTTCGAATGTGGCTATGTCGATCACAAATGCTCCCACTGTTGGTATAAACAGAAAAGGAAGAAGCAAAAATTTAAATCAAAAGTAAATGTTTTACCCAAGAACGAAATTGAAAATGGTGAAACAAAGAAATATGTAAATACGAAAATAATAAATGGTCATACAGTGAAGTTATTGTTGGATACAGGAAGTGACATTTCTATTGTGAATGAACAAACATGGAAGAAAATAAGTTGTCCATTATTGAAGAGTATCAAAAAAAAAAAAAAAAAAAAAAAAAAAAAAAAAAAAAAATAGCTAGAGGATTGTCTGGTAAAAATACTAAATTTCAGGAGTGAATTTAGCTGCAACGTATCATTTATGGATAGAGCTTTCAAATCAAAAGTCTATGTTCTTCCAGGTATGACAAATTTATTTGGTACAGATTGGATGGTGCTTTTCAATTTATGGGAATTACCTGTAAATTAATTTTGCAACAAAGTAGACGTGTCAGTAAAGGAAAAATCTGAAAAAAAAGAAAAATTTATTTCTGATCTGAAAAATGAATTCCTACGTGTGTTTTCTGAAGGTCCCGGACAATGCATGAAAACAGGGGTCAGGTTCAAAGTTAAAAACAACATAAGACTAGTATTCAAACCAAAAAGGAATGTACCATTTTCTGCTTTAGGTTCAGTAAATCAAGAATTGGGATGTTTAGAGAAAAGGAGTGTAATTTCTGAAGTTGACTACTCAGCTTGGGCTGCACCTACAGTGTATGTCAAGAAAAAGAAAAAAAATATCTGAATATGTGCAGATTTTTCAACCAGGTTAAATGACACCCTTAAAGACCACACATACCCTTTACCGGAAGATATTTTTTCTAAGCTAAAGGATGGCAAAGTGTTTTCTAAAATAGATCTGTTTTGACGCATATCTGCAAGTGAAAATAGATGAAGAGTGCTCCAAGTTATTAGCAACTAGCATTAGAGCCCAGCGTTGCCCAGGGAATATAACAGTAAGAGATAGATCAAGCATCGACCATCATAAAGACTGAAAAATAAAATTGACAAAGATTATTGTTTAAGGTTGACGGACACACATGTCTTAATTAGTTTTTTTTTTTTTACGAATTGGTCAAACCCAAACTCAAACAAAAACTGTTTTCAATCGTTATGAGTCTACCGATTGAATAGAATTTTATTATAAACAATTGTCTTGTAAATGGAATTTTTAAAGCATTCTGAATGTAAAAATAAAGAAAAAAGTGTGCAAGACAATAAGAAACACTACCTGCCAAAAAAAAAAAAAAAAAAAAAAAAATGAAGTTTTGTTGAAATCGGTTGAAAAATTTAGGAAATCTGATCCCATATATAAAGGAACACACACACACAACCAAGGTTTTATAATAAGTATAACTCAATATGAGTTGTCCCCCTTTCATTCTCGCGCTGTCTCTTATTCGTGTTTTCAAATTGATTGCATGCAAAAACAATTGTTTTTCCAATTTTTGGCGATGTCAGAACCACCGCAAGGTAATTTTACGTAGTCCTGTGAAGTTTTGTTGAAATCAGTTGAAAAATGTAGGAAATCCGATCCAATATATAAATTTACAGACACACAACCTGGGTTTTATAATAAGTATGATTAATATGCACAAGGGAGACTACAAACTAAATTGTCTCCCATTTGGGTCAAAAAGGTGGCTCCCAGTTTGTACCAGTAAATAATGGATACCATGTTAGCTAGACTAGAATTTGTCATCGCATACCTAGATGACATCCTGCTAAAGAGTGAAAACAACGAACAGCAAAAAAAAAAGTATGATCTTAGAGACCCCCCCCCACCACCACTGAATGACTTATCAAAAAAGGGTGCAAAATGGATTTGGTTTGAAGAATGCAAAGATGCTTTCCAGAAAATAAAAAGCCGTCTGTTATCAGATTTATCATCAGTGCATTTTGACCCTAAAAAAGAAATAATTGTAGCCTCTGATGCTAGCAACTATGGAATCGGAGCTGTAATTCTCCACAAGTTTGAAGATGGAACTACAAAACCCATAGCCCATGCTTCCAGAACCCTGCTTCCTGCAGAAAGAACTTATAGCCAGATAGTTAAAAAATTTCTCAGGTTCACCCATGGAAAAAAATTTACATTACAGACAGATCATAGACCGTTGTTAAAAATTTTTGGATCAAGAAAGGGTATACCCACATACAAAGGGTTCAGCTCAACATTCCAACCACCTGAAGAAGGCCGGAGTGTACAACGGCCGAAACGTTGTGATATATATGGCAACAAAGATAGGGGACGATAGTCCAAACAATGTAAATAGTTTACAATACCTCATCTCAGAAATATAGACAGTTTTATTAATTCTTGGGATTTTGGGAAATTAAAGATTTTGTCCTGAATCCAGTAAGTGGACCCAAAGTTAAAAAAACATATTTCTTATCAGTCTAAACAATTCTAGTTTTATGTTAGAGGAAAAAAAAAAAAAAAAAAAAAAAAAAAAAAAAAAAAAAAAAACTGCCTGGCATTTTTCTTTTTTCAATTGTCAAATTTGCAAAAGAAAAGAGATGTTGGAAGGCCATAGATTTAAGGAGTGAAAAAGAACTTATGTCGAAAAACAACTGACCTCTACAGTAATTGTTGAACAATGGATTTATACATCAGTTATGAGTAGAATATCTGCTCAGAGTCATCGCAAGGAGTAATGTTTGAGTCATATGCATTGTAGCACTGAACTACAGTATTCCTTGTTACTGTATTATCAATCGATGTCATGTGATTAAACCTGTTCTTCACAAAACCTTTTGTTGCAGTCTTTCCTTGCAGTATTGTCAAACTTTAACCCTCTGCATGCATTATTCTTTCCTTTCTACTGCATTCTTTTTTCAGGCCTCTCAATTTCACTAAGCCCATTGTAAATTTCACTCAAAGATGTTTTTTGTTGCCATAGCAGGATATGACAACTATGAAATTCAAACACGAGATGTTTTTTGTTGCCATAGCAGGATATGACAACTATGAAATTCAAACACGAGATGTTTTTTGTTGCCATAGCAGGATATGACAACTATGAAATTCAAACACGAGATGTTTTTGTTGCCTTATAGCAGGATATGACAACTATGAAATTCAAACACGAGATGTTTTTGTTGCCATAGCAGGATATGACAACTATGAAATTCAAACACGAGATGTTTTTTGTTGCCATAGCAGGATATGACAACTATGAAATTCAAACACGAGATGTTTTTTGTTGCCATAGCAGGATATGACAACTATGAAATTCAAACACGAGATGTTTTTTGTTGCCATAGCAGGATATGACAACTATGAAATTCAAAGATCAGAGTCACCTTCAGTGACAAGAAAAACTTTTTGCACAGCAAATGAAAGCACATACACAGTGATAAAAGGTTAATCAGAACTACAAACGTTATATGAACTTTATAACAAAAACAAAAAACATTACTTAATCACACTGTAGTAAGAATTATTGACTAAATCATCATTTGATTTAGTTTATTTAAAATCTACAGACCACAATGAAAAAAAAAAAAAAAAAAAAAAAAAAAAACAAATTTATACAGAAAAGTTTTTTTTTTTTTTTTTTTTAGGAAAGATTTGTGATATCAGGTACAAATTTCCAATTTTGGAAAGTTACTCGTTAGGCTCTAAAACAATATTTGTTAGGATATCTCAAGTGTTTAAATAAAAGTCTAAAAATTAGAAAACTACATTCAAACTTCATCCACTCAACATGAAAAGAAAATTATTTACATTGACTATTGTCCTCATCATGGAAAGCAGTTAATGGGAATTTTGGTATTTTAATCAATATTTAAAACAATGTCAAGAGATTCTAAGATGTTCATCACAGAACAAAAAAAAAAAAAATTCCTAATGAAAGTGATGAAATAGAAAGCCTTGGGAGTTCAGGATAATTCTGACTGATTGGTCCACTTATGGCACCAGACTGACACTTTTAAGTATATATGTAGCTTCTTTCAGAGGAGAAAAATATAGACAGTGAAAAAAAAAAAGTCTATTCAGAGAGAGAGAGAGAGAGAGAGAGAGAAAGAGAGAGAAAAACAAAAATGTCTCCCATCAGGAAGAGAAAAAAAAAAATGTCTCCAAAGAGGGGGAGAGAGAGAGGGAGGGAGAGAAAAAAAAAAAAAAACAAATGTCTCCAAAGAGAGAGAGAGAGAGAGAGAAAAAAAAAAACAAAAAAAACAAATGTCTCCAAAGAGGGGGGGAGAGAGAGAGAGAGAGAGAGAAAAAAACAAATGTCTCCAAAGAGAGGGAGAGAGAAAAAAAAACAAATGTCTCCAAAGAGAGGAGAAAAAAAAAAACAAATGTCTCAAAGAGGGGGAGAGAAAAAAAAAAACAAATGTCTCCAAAGAGGGGGAGAGAGAGAAAAAAAAAAAACAATGTCTCCAAAGAGGGGAGAGAGAAAAAAAAAAAACAAATGTCTCCAAAGAGGGGAGAGAGAAAAAAAAAACAAATGTCTCCAAAGAGGGGAGAGAGAAAAAAAAAAACAAATGTCTCCAAAGAGGGGGAGAGAGAAAAAAAAAAAAACAAATGTCTCCAAAGAGGGGGAGAGAGAGAAAAAAAAAAAACAAATGTCTCCAAAGAGGGGGAGAGAAAAAAAAAAATGTCTCCAAAGAGGGGGAGAGAAAAAAAAAAAACAAATGTCTCCAAAGAGGGGAGAGAGAAAAAAAAAAATGTCTCCAAAGAGGGGAGAGAGAAAAAAAAAAACAAATGTCTCCAAAGAGGGGAGAGAGAAAAAAACAAATGTCTCCAAAGAGGGGAGAGAGAAAAAAAAAAAATGTCTCCAAGAGGGGGAGAGAGAAAAAAAAAACAAATGTCTCCAAAGAGGGGAGAGAGAAAAAAAAAAAAAAAAACAAATGTCTCCAAAGAGGGGAGAGAGAAAAAAAAAAAAAAAACAAATGTCTCCAAAGAGGGGAGAGAGAAAAAAAAAACAAATGTCTCCAAAGAGGGGGAGAGAGAAAAAAAAACAAATGTCTCCAAAGAGGGGGAGAGAAAAAAAAAAATGTCTCCAAAGAGGGGGAGAGAGAAAAAAAAAAACAAATGTCTCCAAAGAGGGGGGAGAGAGAAAAAAAAAAAAAATGTCTCCAAAGAGGGGAGAGAGAAAAAAAAAAAACAAATGTCTCCAAAGAGGGGGGAGAGAAAAAAAAACAAATGTCTCCAAAGAGGGGAGAGAGAGAAAAAAACAAATGTCTCCAAAGAGAGGGGGAGAGAGAGAGAGAGAGAGAGAAAAAAAAATGTCTCCAAAGAGGGCGGGGGAGAGAGAAAATACAAAAATGTCTCCAAAGACCCGGGGAGAAAAACAAAAATGTCTCCAGAAAGAGAGCAAGAGGAACGAAAACAATCATGCTGAATAATGAGTCCACAATTCAGCAAACCAGAAAAAAGTTGTGCCCGACCGACTTCCCATCTCTGGTTAACAAGCTTTTCTCATAGGCCATTAAGTGAGGTCAAGTCTGCTTCCACACTTCTAGGAAGAAAAGTATATAATGAGCTAAAAAAAGAAAAAAAAAAAAAGTTACTGAACAAGAGCAGGCAGGGACAGAGAAGAAAAATCCAGTCCCAGGAATCAATATAGATTAGTATTGATTGAAAAGAAGAAGAAAATAATTGAGAAGAAGCTGGTTTCTTATTGATCAATAATTATTATTCGAAAAGGACAAGGTAAGGCAGAGATCAATGTCTTAAGAAAGAACGTTTGTCAGAACGACACACAATGGATGCAAAGTAAGCAAGGGAAGCCAAGAAAGTTGAAAGGAAAAATCATGATTTGGCAGTGAATATGCCTTTGTCAAGATTTCCATATCCGCAGACCAATTTGTTGCTTAACACACATTTAAAAACCAAGTAGACAGGTAAGAAATAATTCAATAGAAAGATTAAACTAGAGTTAAAACATCTTTTATCAAATAATTCTGTGTCTATAAAACAACCTAATATCATCTGTCATTTTTATGTAATGTTGCATATTGTAAGAAATATTTTACATTAAAAATAATATTACAAATTCATTTAATACATATTTAGGAAAACCCAGAATTTTAAGGCTGAGATAAGGACAGCAAATAGTAAAAGCATTTATAGAAATTCATTGCAAATGATTTTACTATAGGAATACATCAGAAACTATTTGAAATACTAATAGCATAGCAAATTTTTACTATAGGAATGCATTAGAAATGATTTGAATGAATATTTATGCAACTAGGATTTATTAAATTTACCTATCAAAACTTTCATTTCATTCCCTAACAATTCCATATCTAGTTATATAGCAAATACTAAAAAGCATCTATAGAAATTCATTGCAAATGATTTTACTATTGCATTAGAAATGATTTGAATACTAGCTCTTTAAACCTGGAATATTATGGCTATTTATCAAATCCATCAAACTTTCATTCCTCTAATGATTCCATATCTAGTTATATAGCAAATACTAAAAAATTCATTGCATCATAGGAAGAAATTTTGAATACTAGCTCTTTATGGAACCTGGAATATTTAAAACAAATCCATCAAACTTTCATTCCCTCTCATGATTCCATATAGGATTGCAAATGTTTTATTAGAAATGATTTGAATACTAGCTCTTTATGCAACCTGGAATATTATGGCTAGAATTTATGAAACAAATCCATCCAAACTTTCATTCCCTCTCATGATTCCATATCTAGTGATATAGCAAATACTAAAAGCATCTATAGAAATTCATAGCAAATAATTTTACTATAGGAATGCATTAGAAATGATTTGAATACTAGCTCTTTATGCAACCTGGAATATTATGGCTAGAATTTATGAAACAAATCCATCCAAACTTTCATTCCCTCTCATGATTCCATATCTAGTTATATAGCAAATACTAAAAGCATCTATAGAAATTCATTGCAAATGATTTTACTATAGGAATGCATTAGAAATGATTTGAATACTAGCTCTTTGTAACCTGGAATAATGGCTAGAAACTTTCATATTATATCTAGTTATATAGAAATTCTATAAAATTGCAAATGGTTTTACATCCAAAGAAATGATTTCATTAGCCTTTATGCAACCTGGAATATTATGGCTAGATTCCATATCTAGTTCCATATCTAGTGATATAGCAAATACTAAAAGCATCTATAGAAATTCATTGCAAATGATTTTACTATAGGAATGCATTAGAAATGATTTGAATACTAGCTCTTTATGCAACCTGGAATATTAGCTCTTTATGGAACAAATCCATCAATATTATGATTCCATATCTAGTGATTTATAAAAACAAACAAAATGATTTTACCATCCAAACTTTCATTCCCTCTAATGATTCTATATCCTAGTGATATAGCAAATCACAGCTGTCGCAATGTCATTTTGTGAATAGTTTCTGGACCATGCCGTCTTCGATGGTGCCTTTCAATGCAATGATGAAAGACACTGCTACAGCTGTATCACTGGATGATTCTCTCCAAATTACTTATACATGCAAGTCCTGCAGGTGTGTGTGTCTCAGCCTACTAGTCTTCCACCAACCAATATACAATATACACATGAAACCAATCAAAATTCAAATGAACAAAACTAGTAAACCAAACATAAAAAAGTAGACCCCCACATATACTAAAGTGAGTGGTCTGTATTCCAACTTTCTAGAAGCGGAACACCATCTGTCCCAACCAGACCTCCTATTACTTTCTGAAACTGGTATTAACACTTCAAAGCGCACTAAGGGATCTTACAGTCCCAGGCTACTCATGACCACGGACTGTACCTACATCAAGAACAAATTTCCCTGTGGCAAGGATGCAAAGAGAAAAAAAAAAAAAAAAAAAGAAAAAAAAAAAAAAAAAAAAAAAGAAAAAAAGAGAAGCCCAATCTTCTTTATGTGTGCCCCCCCACATAGCACTTACCCATAGTCCCACATTCATCTTTGTCACTCTCAGGGTGAAGGGATGGTAATCTTCAACTGAACATCTGAGAAGATTAATAATATCCTCACTCAATTCCCCTAGGACAATTTTCATATCGGCAGTGATTTTGATCTACATCATAAAGAACGGCTAGTCCACTCAAGCAAAACCAATGTTGAAGGCAGATATTGTAGAGACTTCTCCACCTATGAACTAAACCAGACATTTGGAGAACATACCCATGCCCTGAGAGGTCATCAGGCAAACCTCCTTGACCTCTTCCTAAACTCCTACCCTGATGAATGCTTCGCAAAAGTTTTACCTTCACTAAGTGTGACATTGGTAGTATGAAATTAGGATTAAAAGGGTTTACGTGATAACCCTGTATAGGAAATGGAAGAGATAAAAATGTTAAAAACTTCAAGGTAAAAACATGAATTGAAATAGTGAACAAGATAAAAAATGAGAAATGTTTTTTTCTTTCCTTCTAATAACCAGAAACACCAAATGGAAAGTTGAGTCCAAATATTGCTTGAGAAATGTAAAATATAAACTGAAAAGCAATTGGAATTGTTATGATTCACAAAACCAATAATGTAAACAATCTGGAGTTTCATTTTGTAAAAGGGGCAGAAAATTATTTGGCTTGTATTGGTAAGTTGGCAACAAGGACAAAGAAATAATTTTTAAACACAAAAGTTAGTTATCAGAAAAAATTGTTTGGATAAGTGGCTGCAATCCAATTGTCAGAACAGAGAAAGGAATGATAAACAAAGTTTGTTATTGAAGAATGTATTGTTTTGAATAAGTGACACCTTTATTTGAAGGTCAGTATTGGTTCTCCAAAATTGGAGAGTGAGGGAAATTTGAATTGATATGAATATTAATGTGTCCTGAGGTGCAGTAGGAGTCGGACGAAATACATATAAAGAAAGTGCTTAAGCAAGCCAGCAGAAGGTACCAGAGGCTAGTAGTGACCGGGGGAGGCTACGTGACCTGCTTCCAAGAGAATTCCTAATCTACCTCTTTCTTTGTTGATTAAACCCACTCCAAGTTTTAGAAGGAAAAGACAGTGTCAGGGTAAAGAGTTTAACATGAAGGGTTAATTTTGTTGTATGAAAAACTATATAAAGCAATTGAAAATTAACCCAGTACTTTGTTATGTTACTTTAAAATGAATAGACAATGCTTTATCTATTAAAAGCATTCAAGATATTACTACTGGTGTCCGTAAAAATGTGACAGCAAATATGATGGAACGATCAGAGAAAAATGAAGTTTAGAGGTTAGATTTGATTTTCTGCCATTTGTAAATGGTCTTGTAGTACAAAAGGTAAAGCAGTTGCTATGGAGAATGGAAAAAAAAATAAATAAAAAAATGCTTTTTGTTTCATATTCAAATCTCACTAAAAGGTCATTATTTATTTCTGAATCACACTTTACTAACAGCCAAGAGCGATGGTCTGAGTAGTTGCAATGAAAATCCACCCAAATTAAGATGAAAAAGACTAGACAAAAATGAATAATAATGACAAGGCTTCAAAGAAATTCACCCAACACTACTACTACTACTAGGTGTAAAGAGCAAGAGAAATAAAATGAAAGAAAGACTAGACAAAAATGAATAATAATGGCAAGGCTTCATCTAAGAAATTCACACAACTTAACACTACTACTACTACTACTACTAGGTGTAAAGAAGCAAGAGAAATAAGATGAAAGAAAGACTAGTCAAAAAGAATAATAATGAGAAGGCTTCATCTAAGAAATTCACCCAACTTAACACTACTACTACTACTACTACTAGGTGTAAAGAAGCAAGAGAAATAAAATGAAAGAAAGACTAGACAAAAATGAATAATAATGACAAGACTTCACCTAAGAAATTCACCCAACTTAACACTACTACTACTACTAGGGGTAAAGAAGCAAGAGAAATAAGATGAAAGAAAGATTAGTCAAAAATCAATACAGCTGAGTAACTGCCAGTTTCGCACCATAAAGATCATCAGATTAAATTATGGGGTGGTGTTGCCAAAGACTGATCCCCCAGAAGAAAAAAAGTGACCTGGAAATGTAAATATATTTTTTTTTTTTTTTTTTTTTTTATTACTGCAACATTTAATTCTTTAAAGGAAACACAGTACAGTAAATCAAGGAATCAGAGAACCAAGTTCGGTAAATTCCCTTATGTGCTAATACCCATCTCTACTCTACCAGCTAGCTATGGGCCCTATAGCCTTGGGTGGTAACCAGTCTAGGGGTAAAACTTTGAATTCAAAAGCTCCATATTTGGGTTAAAATATAGCTATACCCCTGAAGACATAGTCAATCAGGATTGGTCTCTTCTTCCAATAGGAGTGAAAAGAACCTGGATTTGGATCTCTTTAAATACGTTAAAAGGAAAAAAAACAAAAAACAAAGAAATCAAAAAAAGCAATGAAAGAAAT